TTCAGAACGATTTCAGCCGATTTCGAAATGTAGAGAGTCTGATGAGATTTGATGACATAAAAGTATGGCAAAATGGTATGTATGGTGTACCAAATTAAAGCTTCAAGCTTAATGAAAATAACTACGTAAATGTTTCATGGATATTCCTAATACAAAACGACTGATTGCAAATTATAGCAAACGGTGATTGATTTTGGAACACGGAAAGACTAACACGAATTGATGACATAAAAGTATCATAAAATACCACTTATGGCAAATCAATTTAAAGCTTGAAGTATGACAAAAATTACTATATAAACGTTTTATCGAAAATTTTAATACATATGAAATAAAATCAAATTGAACATTTACTATTATTAATTATACTAAAGTGTGAATTGGTTGATTTGAAATTTGTTCTACCAAAGGATCATTAATTAATAGAGGGCCTAAGCTTTAAATTAATGTATCACAAGTGCTATTTCATAATACTTTTATGTCATCAAATCGTCTCCGACTTTCTAAGTTTCCGAATAAGTGATTCCATTTGGTAAAACTTAATATTTCCACTCGGTATCATATAAAACCATAAGAAAACAATCACGAGACAAGTTTCTCGTACTCAAAAACGAACTAAGAAGGTTACAACTCTGGTAAAGCAACTTTCCTGCCACGATTATAATCTCTTTCCCTTTTCATTCCTCTCAGCTCGTTGTTTAGCGAGACGCGAACGCCTGAATGCATGCATAATAATGAAAATTAAAACAGCATCTACACCGCCGACAGTCTCTCCCTGGTTGCACCCTCTTTTTTCATCCCCTTTCCACCGTCTCTCGTAGCCACGTATTTTTTTTCCCCTTCGCAACACGAAAGTTATTATCGTCGGTAGCGTGCTTTATTTCCATTACTATTACTTTCTGTTCTATGCGAAAGAAAACCGACCGTTCTTCAGCAGCTAGAATTCATTGTAATATCGAGCCAGAATTCGCTGCGTGATGTTAATTTGTATTCACATCCGTTTCGACTACCTTTAATATCATCGAAAAGGAAAACTCTTTTTTTTTCTTTCTTATTTAATCTTCTTATGGAAAGATCGACCATCTTGGATGGTAATTAAAGACTCTTCTTAAATCTCTTATTCGTGGGATGGTGAAAGGTGGAAAGAGGTACATTATAGTAAGAATGGAATGAATAATTTTGAAGTTAGGAAGAAAATATTATAAAAAAGAAATTACAATATGATTCCATAGGATTTTTGTTTGAAAAATTATTTTCTGAAGATGATCCTTCAATTGTCATGAAATTTATTTAATGAGTTGCACGAATCGGTGTCACGGGTGAATCACAGCTCTATCAGAAAAAATATTAAAATTCAAGGTTTTGCGTGTTTTAACAGCCTTCCATCGCGGTTAATTTCTCGTGGAAATTCTGTCCACGTTTTCGAGTCGGTTGCGTGTGATACGCTTCTCGTTAAAACGACCAAACAAATCAAATCGTTCGCGACATGAGAACCGTTTGATACCCAACGCGCGAATATAAATCTGCGAAATTTGCTTTTTACAGGCTTCCGTCGGTGTCCCGAATAAAATTAAAAAAGGCAAAGTTGGGAATCTGAGACAGAATTACGCTTTTAAATTTCATATCGATAGATGATAAAATATAGCCGTGATTCAAATAGTAAATCTAAAGTGTCTTAATATAATTATTCTTTGCAATTTTCGACGCGTTGGCTGATCGCGATTTGAGATTTCTGAGAGATTCGTCGATTCTTCGGGGCTTGAAAGAGCTGAGAAAAAGGAGGCAAAGGGGTTGGAAACGAGGAGGAGAATATTCTGATTGTACAAAGAGTCGTTCGAGAGGCAATCTGATTGATTGGTGGGATTGTGGTCGTTCTGAAGATTCTTATTCACGATTGTAAGCGTTCGACGTATTTTTGATCTGCTTAACATCTCTTTGAATCTCCTTCTGATCTCTCTGAATGCAAAAAGTGAGTCGTGTTATAGATATGATTATAACTTTTGATTTGAAATTTATCGAACCAGATTATTATCGATATTCGAGTATTGATATAAATGACAGTAAAACTGTAATAATAGTTCATAATATTCCAAAAATTGTACTGTATCTAGAGATGATTAAACTATTTTAGAAATATCTAATTATAAAATTAAGACACAATTAGACTTCAATTAAAAAATTTTTAATTGATATATCTCGTTAACAGTCTTCTTTTTAAAACATTCAAACTAGAAAGATTTTTCTATTTCTTGATTATTAATTAACCAGCACCTCTCACTTTAAGAATGTTTTTACTTTTAAAAAATGTAAATTTCTGATTAGAATTTATAGAACTTCTCTGTGCAATCAAAATAATTCTCCATGGAAGAATTATTTTTAACAGACCATACGTGGAAAGTATTTCTTCGAGTTCAATTTATCGATCTGTTTCGTTTCCATTTGAAGATGGACGAGATTTCAGTCCTCCTACCGCGCACTTCGTTTCAGATATACAAAAAGAAAGAAGAAAACCATTCAATTCCGGATTTTTCGATTTTTTCGGCCAACCTTCCACGGCTGGCGTTATCGTTCGACGTTCTCGAATCCACGACAAAGGAAAACAGAGGCGAGATTTATTTGCGGCGAAAAACGGAAGGTTGGATGGATGATTTATAAGATTGCAACCGGTTAGGAATAGCAGTTCTATTCTGCTTGAAAGGCGAATTCTTAGAAACGTTACCTGACATATGTGATTCTGATTGATTGACATGCTCTTTCAATTTTGCAGTAATTTCTTCATTTGGAAATTCAATTTAAAGATGAATATATAGCCATTTTCTTCAAACTTTAAGCTTTAAATAGATATAGAATGGGTGCTATTTTAGAATACTTTTATGTCATGAAATTGCATCAAAGACTTACAGGTTTCTAAAAATGTGATATGTGGAAACTTGAATAATTATATCCTAATTTTGAAACGATAATTGGTAAGACGTGAGGAATGGCAGAGCTTCTGAAACGATCAATCGTTGAAAGAAAATCGATCGTCCTATATCGGTGGACCGATCAGAAAGCCGTGTCTAAAGGATGTCTAATTGATCCTAGGGGAACCGGGACGTCGCTGGAAACGCATTTGAGCTGCGATCTACGTAGCCAATTAACTGACTCGTTGAATTGCCTCGTAAATACGTACAAATGACCCGTCGCGATTGAACGTAACATGCGGGGATGAATGTGCTGTCACAGCTTCCCTGTCCTGAAACTCTGACATTGTTACATGAACAATGACAATTCCCTAAGACGTTTAGTACCAACTGTACAAATTGGAAATTTCAATTTCTCAAATGAATAACCTGACGTCTATTATCCATCATTTCAAGCATCTAACAGAAGGAATTAGGTATTTCTAATTAGACAGAGGAGAGAGTGGTACAATGGTTCCCTATATCTTTGTTTATAAATTCCCATCAGTTATCAAAAGTGGAAAGGATCAAATAATTCCCCCTTGTTTATGAATACCGTATACTTTATAGCGGTCTGTAGAGCTCGAGATGTCATTACATTCTGATACTCCAACATCGCCAGGCAATACGCGTACCCAGAGATCCTGGCTTTCTGCTCCATGATCCGTGGGGTCTTAAAGCAAATCCGGGTCTTGTCGAAAACGATGGGAAAACGGTTGAAAATCCGTCGGTGTCTATGTCGGCAACCGGCCAACATGCAAATCCTTCCACCGGAGCCTCTCGGTTTATCCATATTAATGCTTCTAATTAAGTCGTGGATAGGTTCGTTCGTAAGTTTCCCACGTCTCGTTTCTTGTTGCGCCGATAAACTGAAGTAAATACGTGTTCAGACACATCTCGAGTGACGAATATTCTTCTGATCCCACTAAAAGTTTCGTGAAATTAGATGTTAGAATTATGGGGAAGCGATATGAATTGATTCATTCTGCTAGATAGCCTTTTGAATTATCATTCTCTGCTTTACTTTTATATAATGTAGCAATTAATAATTTTATGGTGTACAGTACGGAGCATCGTAGACTTCCTTAGGGAAAAGGCGATGTTTTGGGCTCCCACCTTTCCCCTTAGGCGCTCCCAAGGAGAATGATGATGTAGGGGAGAGCGCCTCATATATATAGGCCTACCCTCCCCACCCACCAACCATTATCGTTTACGCGGGAGAATTTGAATGAATATTTATGTTATTACCCGTATACGATATTATAAATGAACCTTCTTAGAATCATATTAAATTATTATATCTTCACAGTATCACTAATTAAAAACATTGTCAACTTCAATTATTATTTTAGAGCTTGAATTTTAATTTGAGGTAAAAATCTAACGATCGGTGGAATAAAAAGCACGGTCTTCGTTACTGTTTAAATCAGTATTGTTCGGTCGGAAGCATCACGTGCTTCCGATTCGTTTGCGCGGCTTCATTACGCGTGGTAATTGGTTCGCTAATTAATTACAGCAAGTTCGCACGTCATGCAGCGTTACCGTGTGTCGAACAGCACCAGTCGATGTCAATATATAATACGCGTGTTTGCCTATTTCGCTCGTGGACGTTAACAAGATACACAAAGCGATTAATGTCGTTTACCTTCGTTTCTAGTCGGAAATTCTGTTTAATTAACATCCGATGATGTCGCCTACGCTTTTTCTTCGAACCAGTTCCCTACCGTGCGAACTCTAAGGTTCCCAAATGAACCTGGAAATTGGCTCGGCTGTTTCTCCCTTGAAACACACAATTATGAACTCCAAACATTGCTTGATTATTAGAGAAAAGTAATGAAAAATATGAAAAACATGCGTGGAGGGTAGAAGAGAAATGAAAAATGATAGAAAATAACAGAATGAGAGGTGGTTTAATTTAAACTCATCATTCATTTTTACTGAAAATTACAGACTTTTTGTTTAATTATTAAGATATCATTTTGATTTAGAAGATTAGTATTAATACTAATATTCTTATCCATTGGATAAAATTGATTAATTCTTTCCTCTTTTTTATAGGGTTTCTCATCGAACGAGCAGTTAGAGCGAACTGATTCAAAGATTCTTTAGGTAAGTGGAGCTTTTTTTCTCTACTCTCGAATTCTCGGGATGGTCGATCGTTAATCGAGAATATTTTACGTGGCCGTGGGAATCGTTTGTTTCACCGTTTACTCGTCCGCTTTTCCCAGGAGATTAAAGTGCAGCTGTATTTTATGCCACCGCTATAGATCGTCTCCGAACTGTCCAGGATATGTTACGTTCGAACAGCAAACTTTCTGATCCATCATTGATAAAATTTTTAATCCATAAATTTTTAGTTATTCTTGTCACTGAATGTAGATATACCACAATCTCAATTTTATAATTAAAATATTTTTAATCTACAAATTTTACATTTCAATTCTCTTTTTATGGTACCAGGCAAAATTTTCCAATTTTTTTGAAATTTTTATTTCATTATTCTCGTAAGGACAATTACTTTACAGAACGCAGAATGCTGTCTAAATACTTGTTAATCTACTTCGTGAACTTTTGTATTTTCAACGAATGATCGAAACAACGAAAGAAAATTTACGATCGTTGCTGCTACAGACACGCGAGCAATAAAAGCAGAAATACTACTCTTTGCACAGGCTTGCGTATATTCAACAGTTTATGGAAACGAAACACGTTTCGTAATAAAGTTCACCGTCAATGTGCAAGAAAGATCGTGTTCACAGTCGAATCAGTCGACTATCCTCGTGAATCAGTCCCGAAAGGTGATCACGATTTTTACAATTAACAAAGTGTACGTGATGTGTAAAAATGTGAAAAGGTTTAACTGCAAACATTTCGCAGTATTGATCACTGAAAATCAGGAACAAGTAAAAAGAGAAAAAAAAAAGGACATTCATTTTTGGCAGGAACGGACGGAAACGGATTTGCATTCGGCCCTGTGTTTAAACTATCACTCTGTGAGCTTTTCACCGCATTTATATGGAAATTCCACGAGTGATGGGGCTTACAAAGGTTCGGATCGAATTAAATATCCTGCCAACTAAACGGCTCAAAGCACGAACGTTCGACGTTTATCGATGGTTAAATGAAAATATTCCGTTGAAAGATATCTCCTCCTATTTTTATTTTCGCCCGTGTGTTCTACCATACCGTTTGATCCGTTATTTCATTAAAAGAATCATTCGACTGACGGTGTTTGGCAGAGATATTCGCGCGTGTATTCGAATACCTGTTGTGTATACTGTAACTCGTGTTTGTCGAATAATGGTAACGAAATAAGGCAATTCTTTGTTGAAATTTTCATGAATTTCGTACAGAATCGTGGAGAAAACGACGGTTTGTTTATTTATGAAATCAACTGCTTCAAAGGCTTTACGAGGATCAAATGAAAAAGGGGTGTTTTCCAGGGATGAAACAGGGTTACGTGTACAGGGAGGGAGTATTAAAAAATGCAAGTTTTGCACGCGCGACCGATACGTGAGCTGAATTTCGACGTTTGAATTTCCGTCGCGCGACAGCACGTTGTATGCAAATTCCGGGAACTTTACAAAGGGAGGGCAAATTAAATATTGCGACGCTAGGTTCGCGAGAGACGAGGCGCTGAAATATTAAACATCCGTGATCTTCGACGGAAAGATCGTTGAAACCCTCTAAGGGATTTCATCGATCTTCCTGTTTGCTGAATTTCTTTAGCAATCCACGAAAGAATATTAGATTGATCGGAAAATAGAATCTGGTTTTTCTGTTTATTTCTTTTCACAGCTCACCTTTGTACGAAATAGATAAACAGACGAAATTCTTTGATTTATTTCATTAAAAACGGTGTAGCGTACGTTGAAAATTGTCGCAGAAATGTTTGGTCTAGAAGGAAATTATTGGATCGCGTTTCATTTTGAGTAAAATCGCTTGAAACTTAAAGGCGCGACGGAAGCATCGTCGACGAGGGATGCTTCCGCTTAAATGATGTTCCCGGGTTGCACGTGCGTGAAACCACTGTTGAACAGAGGCCCCATAAGCCTCGTATACAACCCCGAATCCCGAAGGTTCGCCACAGTGCCGTAAATGGGCGAGGTATTACTCTCCCCTAACACAGATAGACGAGCTAGAGAAATTCACAGGATCGTCTTAGAAATTACTCTTGACAATGTAGAAAATATTAACTTCAATGGATAAAGAACGAGTCTCACTGGTAACTTGGGGAAATTAATTAATTTCCACAGAGTATTAAAATTGAGGGTGGCGAAAGGACTCGTGAAGACGATCGTGATAATAGGATAAAAATGTTAATTTAGAATAAAAATAGAATATTTAAAATTTCTATGAAATCTCTGATAATTTTTCTTACATTTCTACTCTTGGTTCAGCAATTTAATTAACCGAACACTTTCTTCACCTTCTACACTATACACACTCTTATTTTGTCTACGATTTTTATTTAACTTGTTCACTTTTTTGAAAGGCCATTTAATTGCTGTCCAACAAGATTCGAAGGAGTTTAAGTCTCTCCTAACGAGCAAAGAACTTCCGACGAATCGTAATCCGTGTTTTACTTGGTTCGCGAGTTTAAAAGGTTCAACATTGATCGTATAAGGGATGCAACTGTAAATTAGTCGAAATAAGAAAGTGGAAGAACACCTCGAGGAAACTTTTCACGTAGCTTCAGGCAAGTTTCGCGATCAATATCGTCGTCAAAGATGTTTCCCCGATTCTATCTCGAATACGTAACTCTATCTACAAATGTTTATCGATGTTGCCTCGGTTAATATTGTCGCGTGTTTGCTTGCGAGTTTATTCAACACCTTCAAACAGATGGTTCGAAGAGATGTTGACTCGAATGATTTGTCTTTTCTCCAAGTGGCTAAAGGAATTGTGTTTGTTTGAAAAATTTCTGCTCGAGTAGAAATTAAATACTTCAAATTAAAACTACTGCGATATTTCATTAAGTTTGTATAATTAGAAGGCTAATTAAGTTAGATTCATTTTATACCGAAAAATCAACACATAGCTTTCAAATAATTATAACTGCAAAATGTTAATTTCAGAATGTTAGATTTCAAAAAATCAATTAGAATAGCTTCTTTTTTCAAACTTCGAAAAAATAAATAAAACATGGTGCGATTGCAACCAATTCCATCACAAAGCGTCATTTTTACGATAACCGAGAGCTTTCATCGAAATGAAGCAATCTTAGCTTTATCTAAAACGGAAGCTCGTCTTCGACGATCCCGCAGCTGATGGAACAGCAGCCAATCAGAGTGCAGCTGCGAACGCATACATAGTCTGCAAACTGTTCAGCAAATAGAAGCTCCGTCCACGTTAAACAGCAAACCATCTGAACACACAGAGACAGTCTGGTTAGTAATAACACAGGAACATGACAACGAAAAATCATAGATTATATCAATAGAATTATCTAATAATTGCTTGGGTATTTTAACTCTAGAATATCTGCAAATATTAATGATTTTGTTACTTTTACATTTAATATTTTAACTCCAGTGACATTCTAAATTTATCTATTCTCTGTGATTTGTTACTGATTAGAAATAATTTAAATTTGGAATACGGTGTACAAGCGGATCTCAACATATCTTGAGTGTCTGTCCGCGGTTAACCGTAAGCGAACGAGTTAAACTATGAAACAGTTCGGTTGGTTTTGCGCCCTTTGGCGTGGTGGTATTCACTTGGAATGGATAAAATCCCTTATAAAATCCTGCTCGTCGTGTCCCAAGGCATGCATACATGTATGAAAGCGGTCGCTCGCTCGCTGGCACAATGCAAGCAGAGGTCGGCTGGTGCGAAAGCCGACAGAGATACCGCCTCAAATTGCTCGCGCGCCGCATCTCAAACGAGCCTGCGGCTTCGCGAATCTCTTGGGAATAAACGTTTCCGTTTCCCTCCTTCTAACCAAAATATATATCCAGTCAGAATTTTATCTTCTTCTCTTTCGAGCATCTTCCCTTTCAACGTGAGTAGCAGAATGATTTCTTTCCAAACGCAAATCAACAACACTTAATATTCTCAAGTTCAATGAATTTTTTAGTATTATAATGGAAAGCTTTGGATAATGTTTGAAATATTTTGTGGATAATCGAAAATTATAGGAATTTTCTATAATAAAATAGAAGTAATGAATTTTCAGAAACTAACACTCAATTTTGTCGAAAATATTCTATAACTTTCCTCTCCGAGCTAAAATATTCGAAATTCTTGCCAAGTTTCGTCTGTGAAAACCGAATAGAATCCTTAAAACAATCAACGCGAGCCACACAATCGTTTCTGAATATTCCACGTCTGAAACAAATCGCGAGACGTTTCGAAGACGAGGAACATTCCTCTCAGACAACTCCAGAGACAAGGGGTCCTTGATTCCTGAAGATCTTTCTCTCAGCTACAACCATCCTTAATTCCATTCACAAAATTCCTTCTGTTATCGTCGTTTGCTTGTTTACGAATACAAAGACGCCGGATTTCTACCCTCTATTTTTTTAAAAGGGTTTGAAATTCAATTCAAACAGTCTCAGGGGTTCAACCATTCAAAGGCTCAGTGCCTTTTGAGATTTTCAATTCTTTGAAGACGAATTTTCAGCCTTCCTGTTTTTCGCAATTTTTATAAATTTCAGAACTCTAAAATTCTATGATTTCAAAATTGTTTCACGTTTTAATACCGAAGCGGATAGAAGCGAAACATTGCAATTGATCTGGACGAGTACAACGTTTCTCACATCGCAACAGCTATTCATCCAGCTGCGATGTTCTTCGTGAAAGTTACATGTTGTTCAACGTGTACACAGCCAGAGTAATTGCTCGTTCCGAGCAAGCCGAATCTCGTTCGCGTTCCCACGAAAATCGGAGGAACGAAGCGTTAGCTCGCCGCGAGAAAACAATGAATTTTGACAACGTTATCATCGTAACGTAGCTCGTACGAAGGATTATGGAAGATAATATGATGTTTCACGGATAACCTCCAGCGACGACAACGTTCCTTTTTATTATTTTAAGAGGTTTTCACCTCCTCTCAGCTGTAAGCGGTGTGTTTAAACTGTTCTGAAATAACGTTGTACGATTCTCAGATGGTGAAGGTTTTCAATGTATCATTTAGGGTTTTACATTTCAATATTAAATTCTCTTTTATTTCTTTCTTCAAAATTTTTCGGAATTTTACAGCATTATATTTTCTAAATTTTTTCAAATTTTCTCCCATCTCTTTAGATTTTCTTTTTCAATGAATAGAGGAATTAGATCAGAAGACGAAGTAACCATTTAATGGGTGGTTCCCTTTCAAACGTAACTTTCTTCCTCGGATTCAAGACGCGATATAAATTCGGTTTTACTATCGGTCCAGCACATTCAATCGGGTCGTAAATGTCCCGCGAGACGGCTTAAGTTTTAAAACGAGCGAGGATTCATAATTGAGGTATAAAGGCAGCCGAACTTCTATGGTGAAAGAGGGATTTTACGAGCGGACACTGTAAATGAGTTACCGTTGAATGGAAGCTTTTGCGAGATAATGATTAACCACCATAGATGATATTTCCTTACAGTAATAACACTGTTCCTCGTAAAGTTGACAAGATTGTGAGAAAAACAGAATTATACAAAATTTCTCATTTCCATCGCTGACAATTAACATTATAATTAACTAAATCATTACTTAACTCATTAACGATTAATGTCACATATTTGCAACTTTAATGTTTATTTTTTCATTTTATCAATTAGTCGATTTGTAATTTTGCAGCATAGTTTATATAAAATTTTAATTATATAATAATCCTTTGTTTGTTGACACGATTTTGAATGATCTTTAAATAAATAAGGATGATAGCAATTGTTCGCGAATTTTCAACTGGTAGTTTCGATTTCAAGCTTCCTCTCCTTTCGTGGAATTCAGAGAGCATTATTATCGCGCTGAATAACAATCCAGCGTGGCTCGTTTTCGATACAGCAACCCAGCCGGGTCTCGGACGTGCGTGTTTGCATAACAAGCGAACGTTTCTAAGAGTATTCGCGTCTATATTCACGGTGGACGGGTGCAATCGATTGTCGGCAGACGACATCCCCCTGCTATTCTGTTCTTCCGCTCTCGATGCTGGCAACAGGAATAAAAATATCAAGCGTAATGTCACTCGCCGCGTTATAATAATAGCAATGTAGGAATTGAGAGCGAGGCTCTGATTGTTAGATCTCGAGAGACGTCGAATGATAAGACTTCTCAAGTAGCTTCATCATTTTTCATCCTTTTTATTCATTTTTCATTTTTTTATCATCTAACCACGAATAATTAAATTTACTGATCTATTCTACTCGTCCATTCATATCAAACTTCAAAGTTTGTCTGACTATGTTCCATTTACACTACTTATTCGAAAGCACAGATTATATTCTTTTAATCAAAATCATTTTTTAACCATTTTAACCCCAGGAATTAAATTACACAAACACCTATGCAACAATAAATAAAGAATAAAAATTTAAGTAGTTCAAGTCATATATGGTCAGACAAGAAATTCATAAACATCATAAAGAAAAATATGTTTTTCTAATTCAAATATTATTTTGAAAGAACATGGAAGGTTATAATATTAAGACAAAAAATTCTTGTGATTCTTATGAATGAAATTGGTCATTCAATCGCGACAGCAATTTCTAAGAAATTCCTCTGGTTTCAACAGTATTCATAGCGATCAGAATTCACGCTCGATAGTCTGCAGCGATATGAATTCCATGCTCGAATGGAGAGTGTGGTCAGCAGGGTGCTGAATTCTAGGAAGAGGGAGAGTTTCCATAAAGCGAGAGGGTGGAGCGACGAGGGTCAGTATCGAAAAAATAGGAGAAGTTTCTCCTTGAACAAAGCTTCTTCTCCGCCAGCGAATTAATGGCCATTTGCTGGTAGAGACGTTATTTGGCCAATATTTTAGAGGAACGAACGTGTATTGGTAAAAGTTTTCCTGCCTCCCTTTTCTTATGCCTCGACCCTTTTTCTATGATCGTCGATGGAACATTTTTCTACCTTTCATGCCTTTTAAAGCATGATATCGAGTTTTGTAATATTAATAAAGAATTCATTATTGAATAACAATTTTTATACGGCGACTCCCTGCAATACTTTCCTAAATGTTTTCATTCAATTTCATGAACGAACCTGCATCCCTACTGATAACCAATCATCGATTTTCACAAGAGCATTTAGGTGCTAGTAATTAATCTCGAACATCTTTTAAGGTTTCATTCAGATGGCAGAGAAATGATTTCCTTTTAATTTGCTTCTGATTTAGTTAATTACGCGAGACTTTGATTATCGAGCCGGTTACACGGACAATTTTCAAGGGGCCTACTTGAATGCAACGTCGTAATTAAATTTTTACTTCAATATTTCCTGGGAAAAAGTCAGCTCGAAACGGTCACAAAGAGTGCGTTGCCTTTGATTCGCGATTAAAAGTTCGAGGAAAAGGTATGAAAGCTTGTGTGATCGAATGTCTTCGATACCGTTTCTTTAACAACTATTTAATTAAATATTTTCATCTAGGCCAAGTGTTATACTACAAATTTCTTCATACAGTATTTAAAATAGCAGGGTGTAATTATTTGTTATATAGGTTAAATAAGCTAAGTTGATATTTAACTTAATTATGGCCCCCAAAATCCAGTTATTATGTAATTAAAAATTTTCTAGGAATTAATTCACTATATAACAGAATTACTATACGTATTAAATTTCATTAGCAGGCAACTAAGAATTTTGATATGTTTCGAAAATAATGAACATTGCTCTAACTGAAAATATGCAATTTATAATCTTAGATGCTTCACCTTTCCTTTGATTAACTCGCAAATACGTCTTCCATTCAGTTTTCACGAGAAATTTAATTTGCAACGAAGCCAGTAACGCAGCGCGACAGCAGGTAGGCTTTAGTGGTTAAGGTGGGCTCTGATCAGACATGGCTGACCATAACCTTGCTTTTACTACTCACGCTGGATGCAAGCGACCACAGCGTTCACCCTTGAGAGTGCTCTCCTGTTTTCCCACAAAGTGGAGCACAGTGTTTGAGAAGCAAAGACAAAAGTGAAACAGTATCAAACACAAAATTCCATTTTCAGTTCCATAGAAAATTTCCCAGAATAAAAACTAATCAGCTGTATGTTAAATAATTTGAGTTCTAACGTGCTTTGTTTTAAATATTCATTTTCGAAATTGAAAATTTCGTAATCTCGAAGTTTGTAGCTTCGAATGGATCTTCCTGTTCCATACCATCGAACGGTAGAATTCTGAACATGTGGAGGAAGAATTTCGAGCACCTTGAACTACATAACTTTCGAAACTACAGATCTTTGACTTTCTAATTTTCCAACATCTACCTCAAAGCCTCGAAAATTCGAAGCAACCTCGTGTACGCTTTTCAAAATATTCTTCCTTTACGTGTCTCGTTTGACAGTGAAGGTATTTAAGGCGGAAAGGGTTAAGACACAAAAGCGGATACGAATCTTATTTCTTTCTTATTCTCTGATCAGTCGAGCCTAAAATCGAGATACGACAGAGCCTTGTGAACCATTTGCTCAACTTCTCAAGACCGAATGTATAACGATCAGTATTTGGCAGAAGTTCAAGTTCTCCCCGCGGCTCGTCGACGAATTTTATTCGCTGAATAAGCATGCTTCGATTCGAGACATCGTAAACGACGTATCGACTTCGATCATTACGAAATGTTAGGTAAAATATATCCTTTGGTCTGAATATAATAAAATTCGAGAACATTGACAATTTTATGGAAAAGGGAAATTCTTAGATAAACTTGTTATACTTAATTTTATATTATTTTTCAAAATAAACCGTTATTTTTTTAATTCGAAGCATAGTGTAATTTCATGGGAGAATTTATTTTCTGAAAGGGTAATGTGTAACGCGAAGCGAGCGTTCCACCGTTAAATAATAACGCAACAAATGAAGCTGCGCGACGCGTAATTGTGATTCGTTTGTCGCGTTCCCATCGACCGAAATGTCCAAATAAATTGCACAGTTTTATTCGTGAAATTTCCCCAGTTTCATATGAATAAAAAAAAAAAAAAAGCATGGATTAACGGGTCCAAACGAGTGATTAAAGGAGCTCATTGCTGTTACGTTCCAGACGTACATTCGATTATTTGAACATGAAACTTGAATTCAAAGAGCGACTGAAACAACGTGCTTTTTGTCTTTACCCTTCCATAGATTTGAATCCTATAATATAAAGCGTGTTTCAATAATAATTCAGATAAATTGAAATACTCTTGAAATGATTAATAATAATTCTTTCATTGCAATTGAAGGGTGAAAGTAATAATATCTACATTAATAATTTTCATTCACGTTAATCCCTTGCTTTATTTATAATAAAAGAAGAATTTTATTCGAGAATTCAATTTATGTGAAAATTCTTTGGATCTACAACCCATTTGAACGTGAAAATAACCACGATTTTCTTTGAGTTTTCAATAACATCTTGGCTTATGTGTTACAGGTCATAACCGGAAATTATGAGGTGGCTGTGGATTATCGTTCTAATAGCTCTGGCCCTGCCAGCGGCCGTGCCACGGAAGACGCATCGCAGTAAACCAAGTAGGTACCTAAAGTATCGTTTATTTCAATCTCTTCGATTTCCTTCCATCCAGTTTCTCGTTTTCAATGGAACGATTTCCGGACGTGAAACTGTGTCCAACGGGAAGTGACAGAATTCGCGTTTAAATAACTAGGATCTTCTTCTAAAATGGGCCAAGCTCACAAAAATTTAGAATATTAATATTACAATCTCAAAATTTGGAATAATTGAATTTTAGAACCTTAGAATCTGAGGATTAAAAATTTTGTGCAGGAAAATCCAAAGTTTTAGGAGACCAGACCCACCCTGGCTAATGTTAGTCGAAGCATTCTTATAAGATACGGGTCGCAATTGACCCAGTATCCACCGTTTTATAATTAAACGAACAGCATACAAAGTTACACACTTTAGTTATTTATTTTTACGAGTTTTCGGTAAGGGACAGGTTTAGACAGAAGTTTGAAACTTTCATTACGTGCACCTGTTACGGCGTCTCTAAACTTCACTCGTGCCTAATTTTGGTAGCGAGAAAAAAGTACGGATATAAAGCTGGCAGAAACAATGCTCGAGGCTCGGCGAGTTCAGTGACTCGGAGAATTTCATAATCTGCGAGTCAAATTTATGCAGGAGAGATGACAAACGTATCGGGAACTTCCTTGCAGAAAAAGCAGAGGCGTACCTTTTTCGTGTTGCTTTTAAACAAACTTCCTGTAGAATCCATTTGCTTTTCGATATTAAAATTGGAAATTTGTTTCTGTTAACTATAAAACGATGCAGGTGAACGATATTGAACTACACACCACGAATATGTAACGATGAATAATTAAATATTGACTAATTATTGGAAAATAAAATGAACATGTAAATAATTATTTAATTTTCTATTAAATAGAAAATTAACTATTCCTGTGTAATTAAGAATAGCAATAGTTAATTTCAAATTTCCAAATTTAAAAATTCTATAGCAATGATATTTAAAATATTATTTATAATAAAAAGGTACTTTGATTAATGACTTCAAAATAAGAATTAAATAATGACTAATTATTGGAAAATAAAATGAACATGTAAATAATTATTTAATTTTCTATTAAATAGAAAATTAACTATTCCTGTGTAATTAAGAATAGCAATAGTTAATTTCTAAATTTCCAAATTTTAAAAATTTATAGCAATGCTATTTAAAATATTATTTATAATAAAAAGGTACTTGGATTAATGACTCCATAATAAGAATTAAAGATAAAGTAACTAAGAAACTTTAAACTCGTAAATTTAATACGCGACCGGTCGTTCGATTTTCATTAAAATTTCTACATTTGTTCGTCGAACAATTGTCCCAGTTCGACGAAAGATAAACGTCGCAGAACGATGAATAATTCCCCGAAGTTTGTTTCGAGACCGTAAGTAGGATCAAGCGTTCAAGCCAGCCTCTCTCGAGCGGGCTATTCACTTTGGCTAAACTTCGTGGCCGGGGGCAGGTCGAAATGTTAAATTAGGGTCAGAGATCGTTCGGGGACAGAGATTTTATCAGGACACACGAGTGGATAACAATCTGATCCCCTCGACACTCGTAGGGTCCGGCAATAAATCAGGGTCACGATTAATTTACAAGGAGATCAAGCTATCGTTGATTACCCTCGGCTACCTTGCCTACAAATGACAATGGGGATTCGATCATTTTAGGCTGGATTTATCCATTGGTAATTCCAAGTAATTCGATGGATAATTCGACTAATATCGATAGGAATATCGGTTCCATTCCAGTCAGTTTAGGGTTAATTTTAGTTTACGAGTAAGTTCAAGTCTTTCAAGCCTTTCTAAAGATAATTGCAATTATTACTTTAATCGCATGATCTGTGAGAAATATTTTTAATTCCTATAAAAGGTTTTCGTGATAAAGAGAAATATCGAAACATTTTTAATAAATATAGATAGCAGGAAGTTTCGTTTGCTGATAGCAAAAAGAAATCTCCAATCTGTGCTGTCCAATCGTCCATAGCTGAAGTTAGCGAACCATGACATGAGTAATGTATCTAGTGTCACAGTTCCAGAGGAATCGTTCGAACTTTCATCGTCCATTAATCAAAGAAAAATTCGCGCAGCGTATGCTGAAATAAAATATAGGATACTGTTACTGGTTACGAGATCAGAAAACTTCGCGATGCTGTTTCCTGTTTACGTCGTTTTGTGTACCTTCCTTCCGTTTCAAACTGCTAAATGAAATGTCGAAACAAAAACATTCCCTTTTTAATTAATAATTAGTAGCGTCGTGTAGCTATCTTATTATCATGATAAAAAATTTCTTGAATTAATATAAATGTTTACCATTTAGTTCTGACCCAGTTTTGAATTTTTATTTATTAAACTGAATCACGTTAACATTAATGAGTGAGTTGCCATGGGGCGAGTAATTAAAATTTGTAATTAAATACATCTTAAATATTGCTCGTTGAATATTGTTTGCTTGAAATTATCAAATGGGCCATTTGGTGACCCGCGGGTCATAGGTTGCCGACGCCTGAACTAGAATTGTTTTAGTAGAAGAAAATTTTTTATTTTGTGCCGCCTCCGAAAAATCAGCAAAATTTTTGCTGAAATCGACTGACAAATAATAGCGAACATTATGCTAAAGTAACATATCTAATTTTCGCATTCTTTCAAATATTTAATACAACATTAATATATTGTAATAATTTTTCAATTTATTCTCGATAAGTATCTTCTAACTGCTTTGTAATATTATAGTAAGTTAAGGTTGTTAATAAACGATACAAATCCCACATCCTAATCACACACGCACACGTGGAACTTATATCGTGGTTCGCTATTGGTTCACTATTTTTGTCAGTCGCTGAAATATATTATTCTTATAACTAAACCTTGTCCACCGTCCTCCACCTACGCGAGTACATCTAAGTACCGGAATGAGCTTTGGGCATAGAAATGAACAAGGCCAATGGTAATTTTCACCTACCAGTTTTCTTCATGTATGCTGAAATGCCTGATTTAAAATGTATGATGAGTAAAAACTAATGCACTGATATTCTAACTTTATTAAAAGAAAGAATATCGTTAAAATAATATGCATAAAATTAAAGAACGATTCGATATCAAAAGCGATTTCAATATCAAAATAAATAATCTAAATAATTAAAGATATTCATAATTGTTACTTTGATATAGAAACCTGCTCGTCGCGAAATAATTCCTTGTACATATAAAAATGAAAATGTATTCTGAAATCGGAGGATCATCCGATTTTTCTACATTTTTAAACTCGAAATTTATACATGTAAATATGTACAAGAAAACCCTATCCTGAGCTAACGATAAGACATGAAATATCCAGAAAAACAATTTGCACGATTGTCGTTGTATAAAATGATACAGTGATATTCGTGGGTCACTATGCTCGCTCAAAAGATAAAAATTACAACCAATTCCCGTGTCGTTTCGCACCATTCGTCCTACGACATGATGGGAACCGGAGGAACTTTAAAGCATGCGACTCACCGATCGTTGACTTGCACCACTGCGCTCGCAACGTCTCTCAGTTTGACCCATGGTTGATCCGTCATTGACCCATGGTTGATTACTGTCTCGTCAAAGGAACCCGCATTGGTCAAAGCACTCTTCTGAAAACATAAAAATCACGATTCTTGAACGATATTTATTTATTTCTCTTTTTTTAATTAATACATTTTAATTTATATTCATGCAAAAGTACAATAAACAAGTATTTATAATAGGTATGCAAAACTACATGGGAATGACCACACCATAAAACACCGTAAAATATTTGCAAAAGTAATAAATAAATGCACTAATAAATTTGTAAAAATATTCCAAAATAGATAGGGAACCACACCATAAAACATTCGTAAAATTGTAGTGAAACAAATAGGGAACAACACCATAAAACGCCATAAAACATTTGCAAAATTAATAATTAAATGCACTAATAAATTTGTAAAAATATTCTAAATTATACAGTGAACCACATTATAAAACACAGTAGCAAAACACATGGGGTACCATACCATAGAACCCCCCAATACACTTGTATAAAAACATCAAAACACAAAGGGAACCACACTATAAATGCACATGGCAAACACCACAGGCACACACGCTAGCACATGTGATAACACATAGATGAACACATGCTCGAATTTCTAAGGTGTCAACCCGTATCAGTATAGAGTTGACAGGTTGATCTGCACTCCTCAGCGGTCGCGATAAGATTGATTAGGGAATGACAGTGCTTAGGGTCGAACCGTTGACAATTAACATAATAGGCTGCCGCGGTGCCCAATCAAGCGTTACGTTCCGCTTGATTGCCACTGCCGAGGTATCTTGTTTATAATTCAACGATGAAATTCATTATATTATAATTTTTAATATTTTATTTATTTATTAATTAATTATTCATATATTTATTATTTTTATAACTTTTAACAGCGGATATAATATTTTATTCCTTTATTTATTAACTAAATTGTTCTTTTAATTATTGAAATTTATTATTCTTATATTATTATTGCAATGATTCTTAATAATTTATTCATTCTTTCGTCATTTTTCCATCATTTTATCCTCGTATATATAAATTTCCGAAGCTTCTATTTTTATTAATTTATTAATAAGTGTTATTTTAATTTAGGTTTTTCGGACCGCGATTTTAGGTATTTTTTTTTATTTTAAATCATAAATCAATGTACCCCATTTCATAAACATTTATTATTTTTAACCGACTTCGAAAAGGAGGATGTTATTCAATTCGATCAGTATATTTATTTTTTTTTATTACTTATTATACTTATATTATATTATACTCTGGTTGTAATATTATTTTAGAAATGTAACTCCAGAAGGAAATGTAGATTCCAGAAATATATGGCTTTTCAAAAATTTTCAAATTTTCTAGTATCCAGAATTTTTATGACAATTATCTAAATGGAAATCCCAAAAGTTTTCCAAGGAACACATATGCTCTATCGTGTAAGTTTTGATTCGTGACAGAATTTCCATTTTTTTAGCCAGGAATTTCAAGCTCCCATTTTTGAAATTACTCCCCCATTTATTTAATTCTCCCAACGTTGAGAGGATTTCTGGCATGCGTACACGATGCATTAAGTTCCATTTATTACAATAATGCATCTGACGAAATAAATACGACCCTTTTGCTTTCATATGCTTCACTTTTATCATTATATTTCACATCACCATCAACCTACAGTTCAATCATTTACACCCACAGTTTAATGCATGTTTTATTTCGAACATCCACCCTTAGAATTAATAAAAGCTTGAAAGCATTTACTCATAAACCATGCGATGTGTTGAATCAACTTAGGTTTACGATTTGTTGCTTTCACTGCTTTGACGATGAATCTCTGAATGACCATTTGACATTTTGCTACATTTCGAAATAGCGAAAGTCCATTTTGTAATGTACAAACTAATTGAATTCATGACTTTTCACGCATTTCGTCCGAATTCTATCTACACAATCTCTGCAAGCTTATTTCGATCATATAAGATGTTAAATTTGTTTTCTCATCGGAGTCTCATAACAGAAAGTGATATTCTCCTGGTGGAAGTCTTGGAACCGTTGTCTCTGCTTCGACATTCGCAGAAAGATCTACGGTTCAAACGCTTCCCTCTACCCTATTACGAAAAACACATTTTCCTGGTACGGGTTCGCCGCAGAAAAGTCCCCGTCCTCTTTACCTCGATGGCATAAGGATCGAGAGAAGGGTAAAGGGTATGAAAATAGAATGTTATTGCCCGTTTGGACGCAGCGACGCTGTCGATATTCCGCTTTAAAGCGGATACTTGCACCGCGTAGAAAGGAAACGGATGGGATGGGAAGGAAATGGAGCAACGCTCCACGGAGAGGCAGGACTTTTATTGACAAGGAATATCGGTTATCGAGACGTTGTTCAGAGGAATGGTTTTGCCTTTGCTTTCAGCGCCAAGGTTGTACGGGGAGAGGGTACCTGTCAAGCTAATAAGGACGAGTAGCAGCAAGGTCCGACAGAAGATCGTCGATACCCATAACTATTTTCGCGCCCAGGTCAAACCACCCGCTGCTAATATGCTGGTAATGGTAAGTGTTGAATACAAATCCTCACCTAAACATCATTAACCAAATATCCTAACATAGTAGAACCTCAATTAATGTTAGTTCTAATGATTTCTGCAATCATAAAGTGATAAAGTACAATGCAAACGCTGAAAACAAAAGCTTGTATAATTTCTACTATCCATGGCACAGAAACCAATTATCAGAGTAATTACATGGTAACATTATCGTAAAAACAGCATGCAATTACCATAATCTGTTCCGGAATATACAAGCTGGAGCTATTCAAGCTAACGCAACTTCGAACCTCAGAAATTCTTACAAAATTAAATATTGTAGTAATATGAATATATCATGTAAAAGAAGAAGCCTTTCCCTTTAATATAGTCTTTGATTTATGCCAATAATATATCCCGTTTTGAATATATCGTTGTTCAAAGCGAATCATAATTTCCAGTGGGACATTATTCCCTTTTTTTTTTGCAAAATTTTCCAAAAAGAATTAATATTTTTCTAAAATGAAAGCGTTGTAAGAAAGATGCAACTTTGCACTTTAATGCAACTTTGGTTTCATGTCGATACGACTTCTCGTTTTGGAGATATGATTGTTTGAAGCAAAGCATAATTTCACTCAAACCTCTCACTCTCGTGCAGGCCACTGACCAATCACAAGCTCTCGTCGCGTGCAGTGGTCAGTAACGGCGCTGATTCATGGTTTTTTTACTATCGTTACTACTACTACCACCACTAGCGTACGCACTTCTAGGAAAAGAAGTAGGTCACGCCGTTTCCAAGAATCCCAGCCGTCATTCATAAATTGTGCATTATGAATGACATACTTTGACACCGTATATCTCCTGAACCAACAGAGCTATCGCGACCAAACAAATGACGTTACACAGAGCATGACTTCCTCTATTTTTTCGGATGATTTATTCTGAAATTTCAGGGGTCATTTTGACCCTACATTAAAACGAGTGTTGGTACTTGAATAACTGGTAATTTTGAGCCTCGAAAGATAGTTTAATGGAAAAATTGCGTTGAATAATATAAATTATAAATGGAAAAACAAATTATAAAATTTCCACGATACAATTTTATCAACTTTTGTACTGAATATAATAACATATAATAGATTGTTGAATTAGTATTTGATTGAATAAATAAATAAATTTGCTTCTTTTTTATTTCATACTGTACTATTTTAACTTTTTAAATGTATTTTAAGAATCCTATCAGAACTGTTTTGTGCTAAATTTTTGATTTTCGACCCATGAGTTCTCAGTGCTTTCTTCTTTAAATGCAAAATCTAAAGTGAATTTAGTCTCGAATTTCATTTTCTCTGAAAGATTCACAATGAAACTTCGACGTTTCAGAATCGGAAGTAAACGGTGAACAGAAAATCGAAGGGAAATAACATTGTTTATAGGGAAAGTAGTTTCGTACCAGTGATTATGTAAACTGCAGTTTGTGCGTAAAGTTTAATGTTGGTAAAACCAGGATAAACACGATACGAAAGTAATTTCCATTCTCACGATAAAACCACCGGGACATTAGTTAACTTGTTTTTCACGAAACGAATTTCGGAAATCGTAAATGTTGAACCGATAATGTCAATCGCATAAAGTAATTTCAAATTTGTTCATAAAGTTACACTGCTTCTATTCTACAATTCAAACAAGGAAACATAAAATACAACTTTTGTACGACATGGAAAATTTGAAACTGTTGCAGTTCAAATTTGTTTTCATGATTTCCAATTTATCCCCTACAACTACAACGTTAATTTAAAAATAAATAGTATATTTTTACATTAACATTGGCTTCATCATCCCGAATAAAAACCTAGCTGAACTGATCGCATTAAATGCAATCGAACGTAATTTCCATGGAAAGAAATCCCAAAGAATCTCGGACGATTCTATCTGAAAGAGTGCTCGAAAATTACCGATTCCATTCGTATCTGGATTTCGCTAAAGAATCTGGTGGAATCGATGGAACATCAAAATGGTTGAAAAGGTTGAGACGAGTTAGGGTTGGAATATCCTCTTATCAAGATTATTACAAAATTCATACAATTTCCTTTCGATTTTCAAACGTTCTTCATAAAAATTCTAACGGATATAATGAATAAAATATGTATCAAAAGTTTAATACGGGTGACCACCGTGACATATAACTTCTTAATTATTAAATCGTGAAAATGAAATAAAGAAAAATAGGAAATTAATTAGAGAACGTAGTGCATTATACGTGTTAATTCCCAGCATATCAGTTAAGGCGTTAATAAATCAATTACACTTGGCTAAAAGGGTAAAGGAAGATCTACTTATTCCGCTTATTCGACGAAGTGCGATCAGATGCGTTAATTTCCTTTCGAAAGACGTTCAAACGCGATCCTGTTAAATGGTCGTGGTTCGTTCGAGCGAGTGGAAACATTTGTAACTCGCCTCGTTTAACGACCGTGTAACCTGTACTCTCGTTGGAAGTGTCGAGCCGCGTTTTCTTTCGTGAAAAACCGACCGGGCTTGCTTTCGTTACCGCTAACGAACCGTGAGAAAGATACAAAGGCATCCTTTGACAAGTTAACTCTTTATTTGTTAACCTCTTCCTGTTCGAAACGTAATTTTCGCGCGACCAAGTTTAACCCTTTGAACAGTACCAACCTTCATTTACTTCTTATTTTAACTTGAACGAGCATATACGTATACTTTCAATTTTATATTGAAAATTTTCAATATTGGGAAAATGTAAAATTTCAAAAATAAGGAGTAACTGTTTCCATGGCCCGAGGGTTAATCTAAATAATTAATTAAACTTTGGTCGATCGATGTAACGGAAGAAATTTTTGTTTGAAAAACATTTTCAGTGTGCTTCGAGTAGAACCAGTTGTGCTAGATTTTGTACACGTATTTTCCCTTGTATCTGGAAATTCACAGCCGGCCTTTCGACAAAAACGTGTCCTCCATTCGAGAAACTGGGTCGTAATCCTAACTGCTGAGCGTTATCACACCGGCTCGTACCTACGAAATTTTAAAACGAGTCCAAAATTCTCCGAGTCTTGATTACAATTTGAAACTTTCCCTCTCACAAACAACGAGAAACTAGAGAAACAGAAGTCTCATGCTCGTTTACTCTGCTTGTTATCTGAATATACGCGTCTACGCGTCAAAGAGATTCGTTATTACGAATAATCAGGATCGATGTATGACTTATGACATTATTTATTATGCATTAACCGTAATAACGCGAAATATCTATGAAACGGAGTAACGATCGGCTTCGTCTACGTTTTAATGGCAATCAACCACGAATTTATCGTTCGGCGAAAGCTGCGATGCATTTCTCCGTAATTGCACGAAATGCGAATCATGAAATGGCGTTCACTGGTATGCAAATTATTTTTCTTTTTTAAATTATAGAAGTAATAATTAAGCATTGGCTTTAATTGAATTTTCTTATAAAATTGATATCGTGATGTAGCAACAAATTAGGTGAACTATTTTCCATCAGAAATAGGATCCATTAGTTAAATGCAATGGTGATACCGTTAACGCGATGCCCTATAATTATTTCAATTAGATGGACTTAAGACAATTGGACTAATTACGTTCAGTCGAGCGGCTGCGAAATAGCCCACCCCCCAGCCTGATTCGATCTTCTTTACGAAAGCAATTTAGAGAATTTTTCAGCTGCCCTCGTTTCGCACGCGTAATCAGTTTTACAGAGAACTTGTAAAGCGTTTAGACTCTCCAGGGGAATTTAATTACGCTGCGAAGAAACGCGTTTCGTAGTCTTTTCGCTTCGGAGATGTATCGTACCAGTGAAATGTACATTTCAAACAAATTAAGAGTAAGACCATTTATAATTTCACATTGTTTCAAATATCATTTCATGATATAAAAGTTATGTTAAGATGTTAAATACCAATACAGATTGGTATTATGACAACTGAATCAATTAATTTTAATTTTATTTCAACCCGAACATTTGATATTATTTTCCACTAACAATTTTCCCCAAAATCCTCTGTTAATTTATCGTACACAAAGGGGTTAATAAATGTCTCTTTACAAGAGTTTATTTGCAAACAGTCGCGTTCCTTCTATGTATTGTTTTAATCTTCATGGGAACGGTTTTGGCGAATTCACAAGTTTCCTCGGTAAGACTTATTCCTACCAAGAGAACCAGAAGCTTAACATCATGAAGCTTAACAGCCATTCGAGGAGGAGACGCGATATCGTAACGACGCAGGTGGTTATAAATTTTTACGAGGAAAGTTGGATCGCGATCATTACGACGATACCCGAGGTCTCATTGACCGAGAAAATGAACGACTATTCGTCGGGTAAATGAAACGCCGTTGCTTTCGCTCGCTTTGCTTACGAATGATAAATTCATTCGTTTCTCGGCGAGAAGACATTTATCGTCACAATATTCGAAGCATGATTTTCCCTTCGAAGTGTCGGAAAATATTGATCGATCTCGAAATGAATATTCCTTCTTTTACTTTCGCCAGCCGGCCGTCTAGTTCGTTATTTATGGCCCAGGAAAACTTGCAGCTCTAATTAGAGAACGGAAAGGTTCTTTCAGCTTCTCGCTAGCAACTGACATGACGTGAATCCCTAAGAGTAACTAAACTTTATACTACCATTATGCAAACGTAAGTCTCAAATGCAGAACGTGGCTGTTTCATACTTGCATAATCTTAAGGCATCTTAAATAGTAAATAGAGATTTCTAATTAACGCTTTGATGATTGCTGTCATTTATTCATAATCACTAAGCTTTCATTTTCGAATATAATTTTCCTTTCCTTTATTTAAAAATAACTCCTGAATAATTTAACATTGTGAGTCAGATCCCTTAGCTTCGTTAACAATGGCAAGTGTTTGATATCTTGTATTTGCAAGATTTTAGGAGAGAATTGCAGAAACTTAGAATCCCAAAATTTTAGATCTTCAGAACGGTGAGGGATTTATTTTAACGAATCGCAATAAAAATGATTGTTTCAGAAATGGCATCCAGGCTTGGCTAAAGCAGCACAGAGATGGGCGAACAGATGTCTCGGATTGGTCCACGACAATGCAACCGGCCTATATTTGGATGGTTTTGGACAGAGTGGACAAAACATCTTCATTACAACGGGACGAACACTTTGGTGAGTTTCAAAGAAACTTCTCTTCAATTCGAATAGGTATACGAACCGATTCGAAGTTACGATTCAATCGCTATTGTTCTGTTTCTACTTAATGATAATTTACTTTCGCACTCGTTCCTCCCCTCAGGGAGCCACCTGTTGATGTTCATTGAACAATTGTCAACGATGTCACTTCCATGTCTTTCTTTAGTTACGAGCTATTTCAATAGAACCAGCTCGTCATACTTTTAATTGACTCCATTTGTTTCTTTTCAATTGCACAGGCTTTTGAAAATTAAAAAAGCTCTCCATCGAGTACCTTGCATTATTATTATGTCTCCTAATAATAAAAATTCCAATTTTCAAATAAAAGACTTCAGTACATTATAGAATCTAGAATAATCAGATCCAAAATAAAAATTAAACGATTTAGAAATAAAAGAGATTAAAATGGAATTTTCTAATTACAGGAATTTCCCGATTAGAATGTGGTACATGGAGTACAAAGACTACAAGTTCGGCGACGACGAAAGCAATGACCTGCACGAAATCGGTCATTACACTCAAATCGCGTGGGCCAGCACGCATCTGGTAGGCTGTGGGGTGAGCCACTGTACCGGTAGCAGAGGGCCCCTTGGCAAGGACTTCTTCATGTACGTGTGCAACTATGCCCCGAGGTGAGTAAACCAGGTTAAAACAGACACCGAGACAGAAGAACAAACGTAGCCGCACCAGTGAACTCTATTATATCGTTGTTTGCTTTTCCACCGAGGTGAAACTTTGCTTCACGCGGTTCCTAAGTACCCAGTTATCGCGAGATCTATGCTGGAGAAGCGGTCTCGTTGGCCTCGTAACGATCTCGACTCGAGATTTCACTGAATTATTTCGCGAATTGAAAGATCGGGAAGAAACGAGATAACGCGGGCAAAGTGTTGAATGAATGTCCAAGGACGGATCGCAGAAAATGGTATTCGAGATCGGAGAAAATAAAGAAGTCGAAGGAAATCATCAAATGGGTCGAAAGAATTTCTTAATCTCTCCGCCGTTCAGAAAGAAATTATCACGCGAGCATGGTTGCTGCGTAACAGAGAAATTATCACGGAACGTCGCCAGTTTCTCTCACGGTTGGCAGAAATTTATGCAAGCGGCTCATTGTAATCGAAAAGTTTGCCCGCATGTATCGCGTGCAGGAGGCGGAAGGCCGCGTGCATAATCCGGAAAATTGCGGCCAAGAAACAAATTTATGGGGGCACTCGAGACGCGTTTGCCGAGGGAGGAGGCGCGTAATTTAAATTCTCTTGGCTCGTATTTTTTTTTCTTTCCTCTTTTTGTCGGAATATCGCGGCGAGAAAATATTAGGCGGCCTGCCAGTGGAGAGATAAATAGGCACGCTGTTAAAATAGGGATATTAATAAATTATGATGAAATTAGGAAGAAGAAATTATGGAAACGTAGAATCAGAAGTAAGGTTTAAAAAAGTGTAATGAAAGGATCTGAAAGGGGTCGTTTCTCAAAGCAAACAGGGAAAAACTCCGATGATAATAACGAAAGAAAGAAAGAAAAATGAACGTGACGGTGTAGAATAGCAAGACGACAGAAGTAGAACGAGGAATAAATATTGAAATGAATCAAACAGAATAGAAAAGCAAAGAGAAGTGAAAAAGAAGCTGAATAATTAGAGGGTGATAAAGATCGATAGGTCGAAGGAATGAAAGATCAGAAAAGTGCAATTAGAGGGATTTGGGGATAAAATCGCGGGGTTGAAGATTCAAAGAACCTTTGAGAATAAAAAAAGAGAGGCGAAGGAAGGAAGATTTGTAGAACAGATACAGCGAGGTAGGGTAACAGGAAATCGAGAAGAGAAAAGGAAACGAGCCACGATAAAGTAGCGGAACAAGTCGCAGGGAATACCAGTCAGGGGACAATAGATCTTTTGAATGGATTTGATATACGAAGGCGAACGAATGTCCCATAAAGCTGCCTCTATAAATCGTTCAGCTTGTATATTAGGGTATTTCGTGGGAATTTTGAGAGCTTTTGGGATCTATGGTTCAAATTCAAGATCGACCTATCGAAGATTTTATGATTCAGAAAGGTCCTTGAAATTTGAGAAAGTTCTTATGCGAAGGACATAAAATATTGGAGAACTTTTCCCGGTATTTCTTGAATTATTATTCGAAAATTTTCTTGAAGGCTACTTGCGATATTTGGAAAATAGGGTTTATGAAAAATTTATATTGCAAATATCGCATTGCATAATTTATTATTTCAAAGTATTAAAAACTGTTTTTACTGAACCAACACAGTTCGAAATGTGAATAAATCGTTAACATTAGCGAATTAAAATTCCAGCACAATTACAATTCTACCCACGAATGGTAACTACGCGAGAAACAGACTGAAACACGCTCGAATTAACCATCGTACAAATATTTCTGATGTAATCGTGGTTCTTACGGTAGGTAGGAAAAAGGTTTAATGGAAACAGGACGAATTGCGGAAAATGTTACGCGTTTTTTCTTCTGGTACGCGTCTTCGCGACAACCGAGAGAAGTTGTTGCTTTTTACAGAGAAGCACGTTCTTCCTCGACTTCGTTTGACATCTGACCCACTTCGTCTATTTTCTAGCATTTCGCGCGTGTAACTACTTTTTCCGGGCCGGTCTATAAATCTTTCGATGATTGCTTCGCCCACTGTAAAACACCGGGATACTGACGTTTAATGCTTTCGACGGAGTTTCTTGATTTTCAGAGCGATGGCGTTTGTTAACGACGTACAAGCGATAAAAGGAGAACGATAGTTGTAACGGAGCTACTGAAAAATACTTCAAAAGTGAAAAATGAGAAGTTTTAAAAATTTAGAAAAGATAATCACTTATTACAAAGAGATGAAAGTTTGTCTTTGATTTTCATTCCGAACAAAATAATCCAGGAATTCTATTATTTCTTTACTTGGAAACGGTTCTACATGCGATATCGTTTCTCCTTTTTAAAAAACTTTTGCACCAGACTTAATTGGGAAACCGCGGGGGAATACGCGAAGAGTTAATCAGTTCCTCAGTGGTCGAGATTCTGCGAATGATATTTTGTAAAATTTCTACAAGGAAGTTGGTAATGGTATTATTATACCACGGTACAGTGCTGCTGTAATTATGAACTTTGATGATAAAAGCAGACGAACTCATCGTATTTTAACAATACTGTTTAACGTTATTAAATTTTAATAATCTTCTTTATTATACCGTCATCATTTTTTGCCTCCTATCGTTGTACCTTTACCTTTGTATGTACCTTGATTTACAAGGCAATTAAAAATGCTATACGAAGTGAATTTTTATTTCAAATTCTAATAATAATAATTAAATATTTCAATAAAGATTGAAATTTTGTAAAGAAAATAAAGAAACTACTTGGAAAAAAATTAATCATGATAGAAATGTCTAATTTTACATAAAATGTAAGCTAAAAATATATGTATAAAATATGTCCCCGGGTGGAAACAGTGAAATTCAACGAAATATTCTTTTCCTTAAAAATTAAACAGAGCCTGAAGAAACGTTTCCAGAGTCGTTCATACTTTAAACTCGCTACGAAACGCTCGAGTTACGCTCGATTCTCCTTTCCAGCAACGTTTAATTCCTCTAATTCGAAATCCTTGACCCGCGAGCGAATAATAAATAAACCACGTGACGCGGTCTTTTTTCCAAGCCGTCGCAATTCACTGTTCCACCCTTTCCTTCAACGGGGTGCAACGCAATCTCGTAATTAATTTCGCTGGCGGAGCCATTTGAATTCGAAACTCGCGCTCGTACCGTAAAAATACTCTAAATGTAAATTAATCGCTCTGTTTCGAGATTGGCTTAAGGTCGTTCTCGGCTTCCCCGACGACGACGACGACGACGACGACGCGTAAGACGGCGAGTCAGAGGGATCGGTGCAAGTTGCCCCGACACTTCCGGCCTCGACTCGCTGCTTGGACAACTTAATTGTCTGAAAGTTCGGGCAAAGCTTGCCTCGCTCGAGCCACCGAGCGAACTGGGTAAATGCTAGGTTATTAGAGGGCATTTTGCAACGTGTTACGGGGAGGGAGCGAGATTGATGGGGAGAAAGCAAAGGGTTGAACCGTAATTTGTCTGGAGCTTCGAGGAACAGTCCGAGGCTGGTGGCAAATGATGATAAATAAAACTCTACTAATTACGAACTTATTTGTAATTTAACCCCCCCCCCCCCCGATATTAATCAGGAAAATTTCTTTTCCCTTTTCATTTTTCAGTGGCAACTATAAAGGTCGGCTAGGTCACCCTTACGTGGTGGGCAAACCGTGTAGTATGTGCAAGGAGCATTGCACACGTAACAAGCTTTGCACGAACGCTTGCTATTATACCGATTTGTGGTCGAACTGCGCCGAGCTGGTAAGGACGTTTCGTGCCTGGGTCTGCGAGACGAACACAAAGGAGGGACGGGAACGACGGAAATTCTGCGGTGCTACGTGCAACTGCAAGGACAAGATTTACTATCATCACGGGTAGTGAACGAAGAGCATCGCCGCCAGGTCGAGGCTCTAGATCGCACTCTCTTCGTACCGGTTGATACATCAGCATCGTTGCCAATTCATCAGGATGCATCGACGAGACTGCGAGGTACGAGATCGTTTTCGAACGATTCATGCACCGATCGTGCGGGAATTAAGGTCACGATGAAAGCGGTTTCCGGGTATTCGTCGATCGCTGCTTTCGGCTCTGTACATTCACGAGCAAAGGGAAATGTATTCTGTTTTCTTTGTTTTTATTTTTTGGTATTTTCGTCTAACATATCGGTGTACCGTGTTGCGGTACGTGTTTATCGTTTTAGAATATATTTTATAATTGACGAATGTATTTTTGCATTTCTGTTGGCCTCGGAGTAAATCAAACTAGTGTACGGAATAATATTTTGCTCGTTTCGTTTGAGCTGGAAAGTTGAACAAGGAAGTAGGGAAGACGTCGAGCAATCAAAAAGCAGATGAGAAAGTAAATTGAACTCGATGAACTTGCTTGCCACGGAACTTCTAGCTGAAGAAGTTTCATTCTGAAAATCTACCGAGTTTAATGTATCATATTGAACATTTCTGTTACAGCTCAGAGTAGTCAAAGTCCATAGAATCTTCAGGGAAAATTTGTTGAAATTCGTAACAGTATTATAATACACGATTACAAACTTAATTGTATTTGACTTTCCACTTTCGGTTCAGAGAAATCTTTTAAAAAATTCATAGAGTTCCGAAACGATCCGATACGTAATTAAGGCCGTATAATTGAAATTTTATCGCGTATCTAACGACGATATCCCGAGCCACCAATTAATCATTAAATACCCTAGTCATCGTTCTCGTGTAAACGCCGCTTTCATAAGGGTTAATCACGTTAATTCTCCGCATCGAGCGATGTACAGAGCGTTCGGTTCGTTCAGCTCAAAAACAAGAAAATTTCCCTTTGCTCTGTAATTACATTCAACTACGTCATCTCGAAAATTTACTCTATTTTCCCTTGAACACCCTCGTGGATCTATTTAAACTACGTCGGTGGAAAAGCAACTCCTGTCGCCCTGGGGAACGATGGAGAGGATTCGCGAAATGAGGCAGGATCAGGAGGACCCTTTTGATATTTGTAAACGATAAGAGTGTCTATACCAGGTCTGGACAGTTGGATGCCTTTGAGGTATTTCAACTATTTCCCAGAGGTCAAAATGAAATAAAGTGACATAATATATGAAATGATTGAATGAAAATAAATCAAAATTTTATGTTCAAATATATATAAAAGAAAACCATGCAGCTATTTGATTATTTATTTTAAATGTTCATTCTCTTCACTAATCGAGGATTAATACTGTTTGACATTATAGTCCTTTAAAGCACACGAGCTGTCCAGATCTGGTTTCTATAGACGTGCATGCAATGTGTAAATACGTAAGTAAGCGAATAACAGAAAAAGAAAAAGTGTAAGTGAAGCATTAGGAGTATTTACATGGTCGTTTGATTTTGGACGTTAATGAGCCGCTAATAAAAAATTTTTTATTGATACAAGAAGACTATAAAAAGAATGAATTTTCTCTGAAATAAATACTTGAAAACTCTTGATTTTTAAAACGTATACAACTGTTTATGTACAATGATTTTCTTTCATTTAAATGCTATGAAAATATTAAAAATAAGAAAAGAATTGAATGTACATAAAAAAAGAATTGTTTTTATTGGCAGGCTCGTACGTCGCCTAAACGTGGGACTAAAATGTATGAAAGGTAACCGGAAACCCTGTCTTCTGAACGTGTTTAGCGACGTAAATTCAACGATAGTTAGTATATACAGAAAGACAACGCGTTGTATAATTTATTTCATTCGAGCACTTATGAATGCGAACGTGTATTAATTTAAAAAAAAAAAAAGAAATAAATAATCGAGGAAAAACTGTAAATACATTTGAATCTGTAACATATCGCTGCGGACAATTATTAGTATATAGGAATTTTAATTAATTATTTGTGAATTTTAACCTAATTATAGATCGTTCAAGCTGGCATAATTAACCATACAAAGAATAATAGAATTAAACTTGACTCTTACCTTGTTAATATAGAAAGTGTTAGGCTAAGGGTGGGTGTCTTCTGAAGGGGTGGGGCGTGAAAGCTGAGGTGATTTTGAATAATTTTTTCCCTTCACCAACATACTCGTCGAGGCTTGATTAATGAATTATTAATTAAAAAAGCAGTGACCAATCACAGCACTTACGCGAGTATTGGCTACGAGTCCGCACTCGACCGTGGTCGCGAACAAACTACTCAGCACGTCGGTTCGTAGCCGACACTCCTACGGCCAAGCCTGCGCAGTGCGCACTATACACTGCTTTTCATTAATAATTCAGAAACTAAGTTTTAATGAGTATATTGGTAAAGGAAAAAGTTGTTCAAAATTTTCCTAGATACCACTCCCTCAAAGGACCCACCCTTAGCTGAACACCCTGTATAACTAGCACTATTTTTAATTTCTAATTTCTAATTTCTAATTTCTAATTTCTAATTTCTAATTTCGAATTTCGAATTTCTATTTCTATTTATTTATTTTTACTTAGGGTTAAATATGATCCTGTCCTATACATAGAATTATTTTCTTATTGTTTTTGTTATACCTTTATATACCAAGTTAAGTTTTCAAGTGGAGGTGATTGTAGTAAATGGGTTAATAATGCCAAAGAGAATTTTTCCAGCATTCTCTGGCCCTTGAACGATATAAGATCCATCATCCATCATTTATCGTGCTAAAATATTTTCCTCGAAACAAGAAAAGAAAAGGAAAAGAAAAACAATGAATCTACATGCATTCACGAGTGCTCAACAAAGAAATGTAAATTATGGACTGTTTCTCGTAACATCATCTCGTTACGCACCAATTATTCATCGATTTCACTTAATGATCGATCGAATCCCTGGGAAAAATGTGTCGTCTAACATTTCCGTAGAATTTGTTTGCTGACGCCTCACAGAAATACTATTTTTCATCACGTTTTTCGAGCCGTAATCGCGACCGTGATCGACGAGAGCGAGATTGCTTTGGAAAGACGAGCGCGTAAGGAATCTAAACGAACAACAAGTAATGGAATGTATGGAAGGAGAAAAGAGTGTAGTTTGTAAGGTACATGTATAGTAAGATGAATACAAACGACAAGTAACAATGTGGATAATAGGAGACACACAACCAGTTAATTGGGTTAAAATGATTAGTTCGAAAGGGTTGATTAATGTTTAACGCGAAATGTAATTCGCGAAACTGTGTCACGCGAAACGTTGTAAGCTGTCATACTTTGTTCACTTACCGAAATAAAGGTCCTGTAAATATTATTTCCAGTGTAACGATAAGCAATTTTAACCCTTTATACTCGCTAAAATTCAATATCGTAATTAATACGTTCATTACTATGGGAAGTCACTTTATGATTTCCGATGGGTAATTAAAATTTCGACATTTTCAATTATCGCACATTTACTATATGTAAATTTGCATTAATTCTATTTTTTATTATTTGCAAGCTTGCAATATTTTAAAGAGAAAAATAATTTTTAATACAGAGATGTAATTGCTCATGTAGAAAAAATTAACGTTGCCAATTAGTTTGAGAATACAGATTTAGTCTTTTGAAATTTTCATGTTTGTTGGCAAATTTTTAACTTGAATCTCTTCCTTTTATTTTACACTCATGGAGCAATATTCTGTGTAATTATTCGCATTATACGTCATTTTAATTTAGAATAATGGAATGGTTTTACAGAAAGAAAGCGAACAGCGTCGCGAATAAATTTCCGGAATATTTCTGCGAACGCATTGTTGTTGGAATAATAGTTTCGTCCTTTTATTCTTTTTTCTCTCCTCGTAAAAAGGGAGAGCAATATTTTATTTCTGATTGCTCGCAATTTTGTACGTTTTAGATTAAAATAAAACAAAGAAAGAAACCATAAGAAAATAATAATTTCACATTTATCATTTCTCATTGAAGTTTTCACATATTTAATTACACTTTAATATTGTTTCAAAGTAATTTAATAACGTGCACGTTTAATAGAGTTTTCATCAATAATTTATTGAAAAAAATACTTCTATTCAAAAATTATTTGTTTTGAAACGATCTGAGATAATTTTCTAATTACAGAATCTGAGGAAGCGTAATTACAAGTAATAAAACACTTAAAAATACATTATGAATTGCACACGAATTCGAAACTTTATCAATAAATCAAATTAAATGGCACGAAAGGTTCGCCTAAGGAATTAATACGCGGAATACTATCTTTGCGGCCAGTTTAATCGCTAGCCGCTATTTATTTCTTACACGGAAAAGCCGTAAGGATTAAGCGAAATTCTAGAGGAAATAAATCGTCTGCTTTTCGAACAGAGATAGAACGAAAACGAAAACGAAAAAAAAAATAATCCTCCATCGACTATAGTAGAAGGAACGGTAGATTTTCTCTTCTTTTTTTATAGTTGTTCTTGAAAAATGATTGCCTTTTTTTATAGAACCACTGTTCTCTTATAATCTTCATCCTATAAAAGGAGGTGAATTTTACTACTCCCTGTTCTCTCAAAGGAATATTATATTTTTAAAAAGGTAGATAAATACCGTGAAATATTTTAAAAGATATTAACCAACGCTGGATCTAATGGTAGGTCTAATGGTGCCTACCCTCATTCATCCAGAATGGCTGTGCAGGTACCGTTCACTTTCAAGATCGATGGCTCGATTTCAAAATAGAACATTCGAGCCGAAAATTTACCCACACCTGGGACGTGTTTTGATTGCCCCAAGTAAATATCTGGCGATGAAACGCGCTGTGCGTAAACGTTTGCTCACGCTCATAGGCGTTGTATACCCTTCAAAACAAACGATGATAACAATTTGTGTCACTTCGATCTCGATAACTATACGTCAACCGGAAGTAACAGCGCTTTCATCGCGAAGCTTAGCAAATAATATCAAAAGCAATCTCAATTACTGTTGTCAAATTAGAATCCTTCAACCCTTTGAACGCTACGCGACCCATATCTAGGTGATCTATCAGTTTTCCCAAGAATGACTGTCTATTGAAAGTTATAAAAAAAATCGTGGATACAGTAGACGGGAAAATGCAGGGTGAGGTGTCAAAAGAGGTTTGAATTATGCTGTGCAGAATCCAAGGATAGAGGGCATAAAGTGGGGCTTCGGAAAAATATAAAGTGCTAGCTTGCAGCAAAATCAGAATCACAGGAAATAAAACTCGATACTGAATTCTCGCACGTGAAATATACAGTGCTGCGAAAAGTTAGAACATACATATCCCATATTTCTGGCATCAACTAGACAAGCGATAAATAATCCAACTGGAACAATCTCAAAACTTTGTGAACGAAGAAAAAAAAAATAAATGATATGCAACAAAAACTGTACCAATTTCAATTCAATTTAACGATGCGATGCTCGATCTGAAGAACGTATTCGAACGGATAGTAAGAAGCAATTGTTCTCAATTAGTCTTAAAATGGATCGTTGTAACAATTAGCTGATAGGTGGTTTTCAGATTGAAAGATAGACAGGTAGATCGATAGCCGAACTTAATTTATCCGTGAGTGGGAGGCCAGTATCGATATCGTCGATGAGCTCGCTGAGAAAGTAGCTTCAATCTTCTCGAAGCGAATGGGGTTCGCAGTTGATTCGCAAACAAGATTCCAGCGAGCTCTAAACGCTCAAACAAAGTGAAGTGGTCGGGCCAGCTGATTTATCGACAGGATTTTCTGCCCTCCTATCGAGATCCAGGGACTTTGCACGGTTATCTCTACCCGCTACATACACAGACGTATTAATTCGCCATCGGAGAATTGAAATCCGAGATTAGCCATTAATATCAATAATTCGCAAAAATAAACATCCTGAATTATTTCATTCCCCAATTTGAATTTGACTTAATTAAAAATTAATGAAAAATATAACAAAACGCGTTACTAAATGCAAATGGCTTCAAATATCCATCAGCAGAACTTTCATTGCGACCACTTAACCGCAACAGGATTGAAATCGTTAGTAATTGCCCCCTATCTCATGATCGCCGAGTTTACGATCATCCGAATGGTCGTTAACAAGATCTATCCGTGGTTCTCGAAGAACACGCATGATGAACACCAACAAATTGTTTACCTTTCAACGTGTTCCGTCGTAGCTAGTCGTTATTCCGCTTGGTCGAAGTTGTATTCCGTGCCGAGGGAATTCAATTTCGGGACCTGACTCAGCCGAACAGACGTATTAATGGAAAAGAAAACGAGCCGTACCCCGTGTAATTGCGTCCACCCGTCCAACGAGATATTATCAATTAGGATCCGCTCTCCGTCCCGTCTAATTTCCGTGCAATTTGTTGCCTAGCTTTTCCTACGCTATCTACTCGATACACGGTATGATAATAAATGGATGCGTTTCGTACGAGCTAAGCCACGTTTCTGAATCTCGATAGAAGCTCTCTGTTAGAAACGAATATAAATTAAAATCAAATGACTGATTTTAAAATATAGGGAAATAAAAGTATTGCAAAATGGTACGTATGGTAGATGTACCAATTAAAAATTGAAGGATTCATTAACACCTTCACATGGTGATTATTTTTGTATAATAGAATAACTAATAAATGTAGATCTAATCTATAAGTTAAAATTTAAAAATTAACAAATTTTATCCTTGATGATAATTACTAAATAATATAATAATCAAAGATTCAAATCAGAATCAGAGGTAAGTAATTAAAATCTCCAGTCAAGTAGAATAATATTAACAATACGTGCTCCAATTTGTACACTAATGTTCCTTCAAGCCAGTTGAGACAAATGGAGACAAATGATCGATCACGGTGCAACTGGCACAGCCAACTACACACACATACACACAGAGGTTGGAAGTAAAGCAGA